CCAGGACTAAACCAGGACTAAACCAGGACTAAACCAGGTCTAAACCAGGACTAAACCAGGTCTAAACCAGGTCTAAACCAGGACTAAACCAGGACTAAACCAGGACTAAACCAGGTAAACCAGGACTAAAACCAGGTCTAAACCAGGGACTAAACCAGGACTAAACCAGGACTAAACCAGGTCTAAACCAGGACTAAACCAGGACTAAACCAGGACTAAACCAGGACTAAACCAGGTCTAAACCAGGACTAAACCAGGTCTAAACCAGGACTAAACCAGGTCTAAACCAGGTCTAAACCAGGACTAAACCAGGTCTAAACCAGGACTAAACCAGGACTAAACCAGGTCTAAACCAGGACTAAACCAGGTCTAAACCAGGACTAAACCAGGACTAAACCAGGACTTAAACCAGGACTAAACCAGGACTAAACCAGGACCCTAAACCAGGACTAAACCAGGTCTAAACCAGGCCTAAACCAGTACTAAACCAGGACTAAACCAGGACTAAACCAGGACTAAACCAGGACTAAAACCAGGACTAAACCAGGACTAAACCAGGACTAAACCAGGTCTAAACCAGGACTAAACCAGGACTAAACCAGGACTAAACCAGGACTAAACCAGGACTAAACCAGGACTAAACCAGGACTAAACCAGGTCTAAACCAGGACTAAACCAGGACTAAACCAGGACTAAACCAGGTCTAAACCAGGACTAAACCAGGTCTAAACCAGGACTAAACCAGGTCTAAACCAGGACTAAACCAGGACTAAACCAGGTCTAAACCAGGACTAAACCAGGACTAAACCAGGACTAAACCAGGACTAAACCAGGTCTAAACCAGGACTAAACCAGGACTAAACCAGGACTAAACCAGGTCTAAACCAGGACTAAACCAGGTCTAAACCAGGTCTAAACCAGGTCTAAACCAGGACTAAACCAGGACTAAACCAGGACTAAACCAGGTCTAAACCAGGACTAAACCAGGTCTAAACCAGGACTAAACCAGGACTAAACCAGGTCTAAACCAGGACTAAACCAGGTCTAAACCAGGTCTAAACCAGGACTAAAGGACTAAACCAGGACTAAACCAGGTCTAAACCAGGTCTAAACCAGGTCTAAACCAGGACTAAACCAGGACTAAACCAGGTCTAAACAGGTCTAAACAGGACTAAACCAGGACTAAACAAGAACTAAACCAGGACTAAACCAGGTCTAAACCAGGTCTAAACCAGGACTAAACCAGGACTAAACAGAACTAAACCAGGACTAAACCAGGTCTAAACCAGGACTAAACCAGGACTAAAACCAGGTCTAAACCAGGACTAAACCAGGTCTAAACCAGGACTAAACCAGGTCTAAACCAGGACTAAACCAGGACTAAACCAGGTCTAAACCAGGACTAAACCAGGGACTAAACCAGGACTAAACCAGGTCTAAACCAGGACTAAACCAGGACTAAACCAGGACTAAACCAGGTCTAAACCAGGACTAAACCAGGTCTAAAAAAGGACTAAACCAGGTCTAAAAAAGGACTAAACCAGGTCTAAAAAAGGACTAAACCAGGTCTAAATCAGGACTAAACCAGGGCTAAATATGGACTAAACCAGGATTAAACAAGAACTAAACCAGGACTAAACCAGGTCTAAATAAGAACTAAACCAGGTTTAAACCAGGTCTAACCAGGTCTAACCAGGACTAAACAGAACTAAACCAGGTCTAAAAAAGGACTAAACCAGGACTAAACAAGAACTAAACCAGGACTAAACCAGGTCTAAACCAGGACTAAACAAGAACTAAACCAGGACTAAACAAGAACTAAACCAGGTCTAAACCAGGGCTGGACCAGGTCTGTGTGGGCCTCTTCCTTGGCTGGTGGGATGTGGCGCGCCCTGGTGGACACAGGTGGAACAACAGGTGAAAGTTTTTTTGTTTTATTTTATTTTTTGAAGAACAGGAAGTGCGGGCGATTCACACAGGACCTTTCACAATAAGAGCGCGGCCCGTCACAGAGTCTGAGGAGGAAAGAGTCAAAATAAAAGCAGCAAATGTTCTTTTAAGTTTATTTCAAATGACAAAAGCCGCACAGAGCGGACGACAGAAACAGCCCTTCACCCAGAAGAACAACAGGAGACGAGGAGATGAGGAGAGGAGGAGAGGAGACAAGGAGAGAGGAGAGGAGGAAACGAAGAGGTAAGAAGAGAGGCTCAAAACACTTCATCCACAGTGTGATGTCATCAGGTGGTAGGAGACACATTTGTTTAATCATTGAATCAGGAATGGACCAGGACTAGTCTCCTGCCTCCTCGTCTCCTGCCTCCTCGTCTCCTGTCTCCTCGTCTCCTGCCTCCTCGTCTCCTGTCTCCTCGTCTCCTCGTCCTGGTCTTTGTAAACAGCCCTTCTTCATCTTCTTCATCTTCTTCATCTTTGTTTCTTAAATGATCTAAATTGTCTAAACTTCACAAACTCCAGGAACCTGCAGGAGAAAAACCCCAGAGAC